AGGACAGCGGCGGTCGGGAGGACGTGCCTCGCCGCCCAGCCAGGCGAGGATGCCCTTTGTTCGCCTCAGGCCTACCTGGAGGTGGGGGGCGTTGTTAAACCGGTGCCGTTCGTCCCAGTAAGTCACAGGGGAGCCCGGTGAGACTCATCCACCGCCTCTGTGGTTCGCTTGTGTTTTGTTTCTGCCCCTCAACAAATATGTGAGATCTACTGGAAGGTATGTTAAGTGTTATGTGGTTTCTGATGCTCTTTATGGCATTCCTCCCTCCTAGTTATACAGATCGTAGCTGATGAGTAGTACTGTCATGCTTAGAGCTGATTTACTGAAAGATTAGATGCTGCTCTTCAGCTGTTACCTATGACCCATTTTTTCCTCTTATGCTATGCTGACTCACTGTCCAGGTTTTAGTAAGAAAAAGATTGCAGAGAGACAGCAACTTGTGCAACGTGTAAAGCAGCAAGAGCTTAGGATACTCCTGCTTCAAATAGAGCAGTGGCTCCTGGTTTCTTCATAGTTCACATCCTTGATTATCTGTCTTTGAAGAAGTGGACTAAGTCTTGACTCTTGGGGTGGTCATCCCTGAATCTGGGTCCCTCTAAGACTGCTGTGACTGACAAAGCTCGAGTGAAACTTGAAAAAGCAAAAAGTCTCAGCTCTGATGATGAGAAACCCCCTGGCCCCGGCAGGACTGGGGAGGGCTGCCATGGCAAGGACCGGGCCGTTGCAAGAATGGCAGGGGGCGGGGTGCAAAACATTATGAGAGGGCCAGGGAGGTGCCTCCTTGCAGTGTCAAATTACTTTAATCCAAACTCTCTCAAATGCAGCTGGTCCAGCAGACAGAAGTGAGCTGAGATTTGCCAGCCCAGAGCTTTCTCTCTGCGGTTTTTCTCTAGGGGGTGAGTACAGAAACAGAGAAATGCTTTCTCTTCAGCCCACATCCTGATGGGGGACCAGTGCATCCTGCCTATTATTAGGGATCCTTGTGAAAAGGGAGGTTAAAGGGAAACAACCTTGTTCCACCTCTCCTTGCAGGCCCTAGTGCAGAGCAGGGAATGGAGCTGGGAGAAGCTAACTCTGGTAAAAAGGGGTACTGGAGAAATGCATTGAATAAAGAGCTTTGAGATGGATGTAGATTCTGTCACTGACTAAAATATGTAGTGCCTTCTTTGGGGAGTGGAAGATTTAGCTCTGTGGAAGAAGCAGTGTATTCAAGTTTTTTTATTATGGAGACACTTGGTAATTTAAATAATGCTATAAATTATTTTTATTTTAGAGGCAGAGGTGGTTCCATCTGAGTATAGTAGCTGGCAGACTGATATGTTTAGAAGACTTTCTTTGGGGTTGTTTCTGTCCTTGCTTTATTACTAAGTATGTTTTTCATACTGCAGTGTATCAGGGCTTTACTGAAAACTGTAGAGTGGCACTGACTTATAACTGTGCGTTCCTTCTCCTTCCGCAGCTGCAGTGCTAGGACTCCTCAACTTACTTCACGCACTTCTTATCTTCTCCTCTTAAAGGATATTTTGAACTTTTTTTTTCCCCCTTAACTTGTCCTGTTTTGCCTGAGGGAGAGCAAGGCTGGTTTTGCTGGGATTTCAGAAAAATGAGGGACTGTTTCTGGCTGTTTGGGAGGCAGCAGGGATTTGGTAGTAGCGGCAGCTGCATTCGGCTGTCCACCATGGCGCACCTGGGGGCTGCGATACCCAGCTGAGCTAACTCCCGGGGCCTGGAAACACAGTATTTAATATCCAACTAGGTTCCCACACAGGCGGCCGCTGGCCCGGCTCGGTGCTTCTCCGACCACTGAGAGCCACCGCTGACCCAAGCAAGCAGCTGCAGGGCTGCTGCCACCAGTCGCTGTTGGGCAATACCGGGGCGACAGGGCGGGGGGAGCCGGGCCCTTTAACGAGCGGGCTGGGCGGCGAGGGCGGCGCTGCGGGTGGGTCCCTGTGTCTGGGGGTGGGAGGTGGGGGGGTTGCTTGGAGCAAGCTGGGGATCCCTTTGGGGTTTAGCTTGGTTTCATAGGAGGGGGTATGGCTGTCCGCTTGCTTTACAGCTGTACAGCTTAAGTCTGACTGCAAAGATGCCTGATGATCTCAGTCTAATGATAAGCTATTGATGTTAATGGCATGAATGCATCTAAAAAGCTGTAAAGTTAACCATTTCTTTGCTTCTCTTTTCTTTCCTCTGGCGTTTGTCTGTGCAGAGGTTAGATGTTTTCATCAATCCTGAAGAAGAGTGGAGTCAGGACCTGCTAAGTGTGTTGATCTGCTTGTGCTCTGGACCATGGACTCATTGAGAGTTTCCCTAGTGTGAAAATGTCCAGCAGTAACCGGGAATTAGTGATTGACTTTGTTTCCTACAAGCTCTCACAGAAGGGATACAGCTGGAGTCAGCTCGAGGAAGAGGATGAGAACAGGACTGATCTTGCGGCAGAGGCTGGGATGGCCAGTGTCCTTAATGGGAGCCCGTCCTGGCATCCCCCTGCTAGCCACATAGTGAATGGAGCCACTGTGCACAGGAGCAGCCTTGAAGTCCATGAAATTGTTCAAGCAGCTGATGTGAGGCAGGCACTGAGAGAGGCAGGAGATGAATTTGAATTGAGGTACCGGAGAGCTTTTAGCGACCTCACTTCCCAGCTCCACATTACCCCTGGCACAGCATATCAGAGCTTTGAGCAGGTGGTGAATGAACTCTTCCGGGATGGAGTGAACTGGGGTCGCATCGTCGCTTTCTTCTCCTTCGGAGGGGCGTTGTGTGTGGAGAGCGTTGACAAGGAGATGCGGGTATTGGTTGGACGCATTGTATCTTGGATGACCACGTACTTGACCGACCATCTAGATCCCTGGATCCAAGAGAATGGCGGATGGGTAAGATCTCTTCTCTCCTCCGGGTGTAGCTTCCTGCATCCTACTAGTTCAAGACCATCAGTGGTACTAGTAAAACTAAACCACGGTAGTAGCTCACTGCAATATATATACTAGCACATATCCAAGATCATGCAAGGAGATAAACCGGTACATGGCCTTGCCCTCTATGTTCTTAATGCCTTGCCACAAGAGGCAAGGCATTTTGTGATGAAAGAAAAAGAGTTTTTATCCAGACTTGTCCTCCATCCCTCTTTCTTTGCTGCCTTCTTGGATGTTACAAGAGCCTTTGGGAATCAAGTGTCATCCAAGCTTGTCCTTCAAATGGGAGCTCTTATTCTCAGGCATGTTCCTGGTGTCATTTAGCAGTGGGGAGTGGAGCTTCCTCCCCTGTGAGTACACAGCACTCCTAAGGGTCAGCCTTGTGGTGTGGTGGGGTAATAGCTACTTCTTCATTCTAAAGACAGGACTTTGCCTTCTGCTATATTTGCTGGTGAAGTGAATCTTACAGTGAATCTTTGTCGGTGGGTTGCTGGGGGCCCCTTTTGGGCCCCTCTGAGGGGGTAGTTGGAGCTGGTGTGGTGCAAGCCAGGGCTGAGGTGTGCGGCTACCTCTGTGCTGGGGAGCTGCTAAATCTTCAGCTGCTTCATACTTGGCTTGGAGCAATATTCCCAGCTGCCCCGAGCAGCAACGTCGAGTAGACTTTCAATGGTTATGCATTAACATGAATAAGCATTTCTTCAGGAAGCATTCTTGAAATGCCTGGTCTGTCTGTGCAGTACTGCATGGGACTCTGCCAGTGGGAGGTATATGGCCTACAGATGTTTGAGTTTTCTTCTTGCTCCTACTTCTGCATCTTAGCGATTCCCTGCTGATGTAACCTTTACCAGTGCCCACTGGAAAGAGTTCACTGTGTCAATTATTAGCATTTAAATGGTGGAGAATTGCTTTCTTTGCATGTTGGTAAGCTAAGGTCTTTGAGCCATATTCAGCTTGGCAGTCGTCGTCAGCAGTAGTCCATCACAAGACCCCTAGAGACGTGAGGAGGGGACAGGAACCTCTAAAGCCCAGCTTTACACTGCACACTTCTGATAGAGGTGACCCACAGAAGCCCCTCGGAGCTCAGCAGCTCCTTGTGCCTGCTTGGCCTGGCTAGCTCTGCCAGGGACCCTGGCAAGGGGGCAAGCGGGTGCACCCGGGGAGAGGGAGTTGATGCACCCAGGGCGCAGGAATTCCAGGAATGTGGCTGCCTGGGGCACTGCGTGGGTGGGGCTGCTCAGGGAGAGGAGCTTGGTTTTGATTAATAATCCAGGGTCTGCTGGCCATTTCAGCAGACTGTGTCTGGCCCATTAGCTCTCTCATCGTATAGATAACCCTGGCCAAATGCTGATTTCTTTCCCCCTCCCTCCAGCTTTGGCTTTTAAAGCCGCAGATTAGTCTTGGAATTGAGTGATCAAATTGAGGTTTCCAAGCTAGTGTGGCTGTTGCTGTTAGTGACGGATTGGGTTGTATCCTGGAGACCTAGGCGATAATGCAATCTGATTTTTTGTAAATGAACTCTCTGGAGGATTTAGATTAAATCACTGGTGGAAAATCACTGGTCCCTGCTCGTGGGGAATGAAATACCTCCTCCCTCTGTTACCCACCCCCAACCAACTATCACAGTTAAGACTCTTCCTTTTTTTTTTTTTTTTTTTGTGTCTGTCTCTAAATTCATTGTTTGGAGCAAATATTTGTTCAGCAGATTGCAGAAGGGTCAAGACTGTTCTCCATCTGACCCGCCCACCAACTCTTGCTTTGAAGATCTGTTAGCTGTGTTTCCCACCCTGGGGAGCAGCTTTGCACTGTGCTTGTAACCTTGAATTGGGGCTTCTAACTGCTGCCTGGGTTGTGCTGGTAGCTGAAAGGAAGGTAGGCAGCGTGGTAGAGGCTGTGCTGCTGATGGGGATCCAACACGCCAGCCACCAAGAAAGGGCTGAGGAGTGTGGCTGCTGCCAGCCTGTTGCAGAACCCAACTGGTGCTTTTTTGACTTCTCAGCTGTAGATTTTCTCTGCACTCAAATTTCACTACGCTCCTTTTTGTAGGGCAGCTGTGCCACTTTTAGCAAAGGGATGGCACTGTGTAGTAGCATACGGGGGCCATAAGAGCTCTCGAGTGCCTCACGTGTGGTGCATACATGGAGATGCTCTGCTTCGTTTTAGCATGATTCCAGCTGCAGAGAGAAAAGCGTTGGCCTAATGCCATTTACTTCTCCCTCGAAGAAGAGTGTCACCCTGTACTCACTGTGACAGAGCAGTCCCTCTCCTGCAGTCCTGTTTGCATAGGCTTATGGCTCCTGTTCAGTGTGCCTTAGCTGTTATAACCTGGTCCATTCAAACAAAGCTCGTGGAGAGGTGCAGCAGGCAAGTCCCAGAGAGAGGGATACAAGTTCTGGCAGGCCTGCTCTTGGCAAAGACCGGGTGGTTTGCGTTCTGGAGTGTTGCAGCATTTCACTTCCTGGAAAGTCTTTCTGTGGAGGGGGAAGGAGTACATTAGAAGCATGGTACGTTCTGTTGACATAGGAAGACTTTGTTTCATTCTCCATCAGTGAAGAGAGCTGGAACGACAGAAAGTGCAGGATGGCTACTGGAGTGCAGGTTTGCCTTTGGAGAGGGCTAGTACAGCTGCTGTGTGCTGTGCTGTAACACTTTTCTTGAGAAACCATTTTCTTGAGGAAAAATGGTAAATCTCGCTACCCGATATTAACATGGGTATATTTTGTCCTGTTTACTGGCCATGCCTTTGTTTCCCCTCCTTTCCACAATCTGCCCCTGGAAAACAAACAAGCAAACAAGCGGGGGGAAAAAAAAAAAAAAAAAAACTGAGGCAGGGATTTAATAACCAGCCCTCGGTTGAAGAATGCTGCTGTTGTGTAAGCCATCAAAACTAAATAGGACATTTTTCTGCAGCAACTACTTTAAGCAGGACCAAATTCCACTAACCGTAAACTTTAAACAGTGAACCCAGTAGCGATCAAAGGAATCATGGAAAACAAATCTGGTGAGAGGGAACACAGGAGGGGGAAACGAAACACAAGGTGCGTGGGAGAGCCTGGCAAGCAGATATCTTGACCATGCTTAGTATGTTCCGAGAAAGGAAACTGAGCAGTAGTTCCGCTCTGCACCTTTACAGAGACTATCAAAAGTGTCTTGTCCAGTTGTGACCCTCCAGGGGATGACAGTCCTTCCATGAATCTGCATTCAGAGTGGGATTTAAATACAGTGTTCTGTGGGAGTTCGGAGAAAGGTCTGTGGACATGGAGGCAAAGGTTTTCTTGTTTGCAGAGTGTATGATAGGGACCAGCATCAAGGGATTGTGTCAAGCTGGAATTGAAAGCGTGCAGCATCTTGGTCATTGGTCCGTAACATCTAAATCCTGACAGACTGGACTGAAAGAGGACGAACTGGCTGCAGCTACTTCCCGTGTTGGTCCTGTGAATCCCAAGCTCTCAGTGGTCCCCTGCCATGCAGGGCTGAACGTGCTGGGCTCTACATGTTGTGTTGCTCTACAGTGGAATGGAGGCCTGTGGTTCTGTTTGGGGAAAGCCCTTAGAAGATGTCAACATAGCAAACTCATTTTCTAGTTTAATTTTTTTTCTTGAATGATAGGAAATGACTCGGACTGTGTCATATGATAGACATGCAGCTGGGATTTCATCCTGTGTTCTAGTTCCAACTTTCTGAATGGTTTCAGGTTTAGAGCTAGACTTTGATTCTCGTCTCTTCAGAAATGTTTTTTTGACCTTGTGCTTACACCTGTGGCTGCTACACCTTGCTGCAAATCACTTGTCTGGGAGGCTGAGCCTCTCCCTCCCACGCCAACAGTTTGTAATGCAATGTTTACTGGAGGTTAGCCTCTAATGTTAAGACTTTAAGTGTAGACGCTCCACTGAATGCCTCATAAACTTATGTAAGTGAAGAGTCCCAAATCCACTTGTCCAGATATCCTGGATAATCCTGCCCACTGCAAGCACCACATTATCTAGCAGATCCTGAGTACCCTGTGATCCTCAGGCCTTGCTGGTTCAAGCTTTCTGGACAGTCTGAGATTAGCGCAAGTTTGGATTCTGCTAAATGCTGTGTTCCGAGATGTTGAGAGAAACTCCAGCGCTAGGTGTCCATGGCACATGTTGAAGAGGCCTGTTGCACTGCATGGGAAATGAGCTACCTCTGGGGAGAATGCTGTTTTCCCAAGTTTGGGCATCACCTGAGTAAGTATTAACACACTGAGTTTCTGGGGCGTCCAGGCACTATTGCTCCCCTTCTAAATCAAAGCCATCAGTTTCAAGTTTTGGCCAGCACATAGCAACACCGAGTGTGTGCTAGGAAAGTGGCTGGAGATAACCAGAGGATGCTCTGTGCTGTCTTAGAGGATGAAGCCCAACTGCGGTATGCAAAGTTTCTGAGCTGTAGCTTTTTACTTTCTGTCCTCTGTAATGGTTTTGTGGTACGTGTCCTTTGCAGCTGAGATGATGTCCACATTGTCATTGCCTACTTGTGTTGCAGAAATATTTTTCTTCTTGCCAGCCGAGTCCCTTGTGTCCCTCTGCAGCACTGAATGTTCCCCTGGCTCCAGGGACTGTCTGCATCATTACCATTTTCTGCCGGATCCTGGCTCAGGTGCTCTTGTGGGGCAGGACAGCCTGGCTAGTCCCAGGTAGCTGTGTTGTGACTGAGGGGATCATGTGAGATCTCTGCTCTGTGTGGAGCTTTCTGGCAGCTTCTCAAGCTGACTGGGAGCTGGGAGGCTTTTCGGTAGTGCTCTCCAGGAAATGCCATTGGAATGACTTCCACTGCTGCTTCCTGTCCCAGCCCAGCAGCAACATTCCTGCCACTAGAAAGTGAAAGATGGAAAGACGCATTTTCGGAGCTTTACTCTTCACCCCGTTGACTCGGTTCTTCTCGTTTTGGGGCCCTCTCTGTTTTCCTTGCTACCTCTTGATGTGTGGTGCAGTTTGATTACA